AAAAAAGCACCTAAACGACGTCTAATATGTTCTCTAGCTGTTATTGTTGTTGCATAGCAACATAGCACCTCGCACTATGTTCTGTGCAGAAGGCAACGGAGGGACTATTTTATTTTGAACATCATTATTTAATAATAAAAACTATTTAAATTGGAGTGTGTATTTTTCTTTCACATTGTCAGCCACACGTGGTAACCGTTTTATAAATGCAATAGCTCACTTCAGGCCGTGATATACGAATATCTATACAATATGGGGTTGTCGACACTCCGCTTCGCGTCGGGCCGAACCAAGCCGTAGCACAACAGTGCTGGAGCAGAACAACAGTCTGGAGGAAGAAGTGGGCCGGTCGGAAAATTCACTAGCAATCCCCCCTCCCCCCGTTGACAATTTACTAGAAATAACGAGGGCCAGTCGAGATTCCCGGGCTGATTTTTAGTGCCAGTCCGCCACTGAACGTAGCTATTATGTAAGGTGCTGGTATATATATACTAACTGTGCTTCCCCCCCCCCAAAAAAAAGTTGTAAATCAAACAAGTGAAGTACATGCTATGTTATAAAGCCGTGGAGGGCGGGAGTTTATAAACCAAAGAGTAACCGCCCTTACGGGACGCTGTAATAAATAAAGCGAACGCACCCGCAAGGACACCTGGCCTCCTATTGGTTGAGGGATTTTTACAGGATTGTTGCACAAAAGTTTCGAGCGCGCACAGAATAAATTTGAGAGCAGAAAAAATATGTAAGCAGCAATATATCTGAGTGCAAGCGTACAGTTTGAGCACAAGCAGAGCACATCTAAGTGCAAGCAGGCACTAATTGAGTGCGAGGACAGGGTTTGAGGGAAATAAATACAAAAGTATGCTCTCAAATTTAAATACCACGCTCTTGAATAAAGATAGGGAATAACCCCCATAACCAAGCGGCAAACTGTGGGGTAGAGTTCTTATTATACATCCATGGGTAGAGCCGGGAAGCCAATACGGAAGTGCCACACACTGCAGTTCATATATTGGCCGATAGGCGATGGCTGCAGAAAGGAGCAATTTCCATAGACCCCATGTTAAAATGCCCAATTTTACAGCAGAAAAAAACATGTTTCTACCTCTGGCTCCATACGTTTTATTATCGATATAGTTAGATTCCACCTTCATGATTATGGATCTGTGAGTGAATTGTTTTCTAACGCGACCCTTTTATTTATATTAGGTCTTAAAGTTTGTGCATAAATTAGGGCGTGGTCACATTGAGTGACGGCTCTGTGAAGTGACTGCCACTGTTAGCTTCTTGTCTCTCTGCTACCTGTTCCGTGAAGCTAGCTGTAAGAGAATATTTTAATCTGATCTTGATTATAGAGTTTCTTATCCTTTCTTAGTATCTGTGATATTGCAAACATCTTTGTATTAAAGTCAAAGCTCCTCTCTGTAAATTGAGGTCACAGGTCAAAAGCTTCTCCCTCTTTCCTGTGGGGGAAGGGTCCCTGCCTCCATGCATTTTGCGAGACAAACAGATTATTGTCTCACATCTGCTATTGATTAGGTAAAACGCGGGTTTCTGATAGCACCGCCTCTTCTCATGTTGATGCGTGCTGTGTTTTCTTTGTGTCAGAGATGGCTTGGTAGACCACAGGGATGTGTGAAACTAAGAAATCTCCCCGGCTGTATTAAATGTACTCTTAAATAAACTCTCAGTGCTGTGGCTAAAAGACGATCCAGACTCCTTCATTCCACCTCAACATTGCAACACAGAAGTTTCCTTCACACTAGCTACAGGGAATCTGCCTGCTCAGCTCATCCAGGAAACACAACTTGTAGCCGGCCGTGGTTGTTTGTTCTTCATGCTTATATTTCGGACTATTGTGACTCGCTCTGCGGTTAAAACAGACGGTGCATGAATGCGGTAAGTGAAATTCGAGTGCTTTATTTATGTGTTAATGATTTTAATCAGCTACGTAATGAATGGTAAGGCTTGGGTTAGCATGTAAGCTAGTGGTAGCTACATCGGTGCTAACGATGCTAATCGTAGCCTCCAAGTTAAAATCATAGACTGTATATAGAAAGGTTAAAACGAAATAGACAAGTGTTAAGCGTTAAGTGGGATAATACTGTTGAACAAACGGCTTCTGTTTGAGGTTGATAAAATAAGGTTACATCCTTGTAACTTAGAGATGTTTTATTATGTAGGTAGGAACTGTATGCATCTAAGGTTAATTTAAATTGGCTATGCTCAAGTATGTAGACAAGCTAATGTCGAAGTAGTGTATGTGAAATCAACCTCACAATAAGATGATTACTTAGATATTACAATATGGTTGGTTGAGCTGGAGTTCATTATCGAGCTTACACGTTAACATCACAGTCATCTGAAGAACGAACCCAAACCTTGTTGTTTTTATTAATTGCATTACCAAATGGGTATCAAATAAACAGTAAGCATTGGTAACACAACTTCCAAAGTTACAGTAAAATAAAAAGGACCCTGACTCGGACAATACACAATCCAACATGTTCAACAGAAGAGAATCAGTTATATTGTTTGTACACATGGTACTTTACATATATATATATCTGTTTGTTTAAGGTGTCCAGGTGATGCAGACAGGCTGGACCAGAGAGTGAGAGACAGAACTGGACTCCTCACAGCAGTGAACTTCAGCTCAGGTACAAAGACTCGTTTTTCATACTGTACAAAGAATCAAGAAAGATATTGGTTTAAATGAATGAAGTATTGACTTGAATACACTGATATACATTCCATTAAACAATACTAAATACTAGATCACCTACACATCAGTTAAGTTGAGGGTTTTTTCCATGCAAAAAGTTACATTTAGATATTTAGCAATATGACTGTCAGCTTTCTAATTTAATGTATTGAAGGCAAAGATATTTAACACAGTGAGAACTGCTACTATTTATCTCTCAATATTGTCTGTAAAAAACGTGGTAAAAGTTATTCTTTCAGTGAGACAACAGAGCAAGCTTCTACAGTTGCACTACGTTTTGTAACAGTTCAATATTATTTTGATAATAACATATATTTCAATGTTGATGAACTTCATACTGTTCATTCATAATCTGATTGTCTTTGTAGCTCACTGTTAAAATAAAAAATAAACATTACAATTACAAAATAATTATATCTACAGCCCCTAAACACACAAACACACCGCTTTCATAAATAACACACTTGTTCTGCAATAATATGTTTTATGTTTCCTGTCATTTTTCTTAGGAAAGGACATGCCTGAAAGACACAACATTTTCTCCTTCTCTGAGGGTCAAGAAGAACATCCAAGAGGAACATTCAAAGCTGATGTTATGAGATTTTAAGACCAGTACAGGACATTCACTAAGAAACTACTTTTATTGTAAAAACAGTCAGCTGATCGAATGCAGCTATTTCCACATCTACACTCCATCCGCTGATTATTTCTATTTGCCTCACTTTATGAGCTTCACATCACCTGTGCCTTGTACCGCAGAGTTTGCAACGTCACAAATAAATGGGGCCAATCTTCAGTCAGATGTGAATGTGTAATCTAACATTTTCAGTAAGAATAATGGACAAAAGGAGTGCAAATACAAATACAATTTATTGAAATGTGAACCAAAAGTTAATCAAATGTTTTAAATAAAAAGCACATATGGACAGAAGGTGTAAACCTATTAAATGTATAAGTAAACACATTTAGTCAAATAAAGTGACAGACTAGGCCTGTGCAGTTGGTATCAGCTTTGCCCAGCATGGGCGCCTTCATCAGCCCTGGTCCTCCTCGCAGAGGAAAGACCCTCAGTCCTCTCCAAACCAACAGACAGGACGTCCATCACACGGAGGTTTCTCCCTGAAGTCTCTGCAGCTCTCTGGACACCATGCTGTCTCAATCCGTCCACACCATAGACTGTATATATAAATGGACGTAGTGTCCGTGACGTCACCCATAGGATTCTGCAGAGTTGCCGTGAAGCCCTTAGTAGGCGGAGTCGGCCACTAACGGCTCGACTGTGACGTCAGAGTCTAATCCCGCCTGCTCCAAATAAGGGCAAAGAGGCGGAGCCGAGGCAGGACCTGCTGCCTCCGAACTGGAAGTAAACAGAGCTAGCTCAGGCTAAGAAGCTAAGCTAACATGAAATACCAGGGTTGCCAACTCTCACGCATCTGGCGTGTGACACACGCTTTCACTCTCAATCTCACGCTCTCACGCTGCCCAAACTATTATCACGCCAAAAAACAAGAATACCGAAGACTAGAAACGGTTTTGAAAACTGTTGTGACGTAGTGATCGTCTTCTCAATAGAACATCTTTGATAATGTCTTCTGGCCAATCAGAATCAAGATAACGGCGTGGTGTTGTTGCAGGAAGTCCCGACGGAGAATACTTTTACTGTAGTACATCTCTATACGTCGATACAACATTACGTGTTGATTTAATGAAATAAGACCCCACGGTTTGATGATTGATAGGTGTGTGGGCTGTCTTTCATTTTGACACACAGAACAATGGGGGTTATCCACCCTTATCCACAATGTAAAGTAATTCACACAGCCTCTTCCCTCTTCTCTCTGTGAGGAGCAACAGGTTCAGCTTTCAGAACACAGTAACACAAAAACTAAAATGGCATTCATTTTTTTAAATATGTCGTGTAGTAATAGATTTATTTATTTTTCTTCTCAAGAGAGTACCAGAGTGTGTATTTTATGTTAGTATTTCAAAAAATCTTCTGGGGGAGAATCCCCCCAGACCCCCCTGCAGGGGTTGGGTTTTCAGCATGTCAACTCTTTCACCTGTGGGGAAATTGCAGGATTGGCTCCAGGTCGCCCTTTTTATTTACTATAAGACAAATGTGCCTTTTTATTTCATACAGTTCAATTTGGATTGAGACAGGGAAATAATCTAACCCTCACGCGTGGCGTTTCACTGTCAAGGGGAGCGTGTATGTAATTACAATGCAAATACTGACTTGAGCCCCACCACTGTATGGGTTAGTACGGTGGCCCTGAGAGGCCAGGGTGCTGCAAATAAAAGAACGCTGCAAATTAAAAAAACGCTGCAAATAAAAAGAAACAGAAACGCCGTGCAAATAAAAACGCCGCGATGCAAATAAAAAAGCCACAACGGAAGTGAATTACCGGGGACTATTATTGCTGATGCACATGCGGTTTTTTATGCGAGAGAAGAAGAAGTCTGGGGGATCTCCAGGAAACATCTCTTGGGTAAGTTTATAATGTTAAAGTTACACAGGATGTAGATAATATCTGTCGCTGCCGTATTTATAACTTTAAATGACGTTATTTTGTGTGTGGGAGCAGATTATGTGTGTAGTGTATAATGTTAGTGTATGTAGTGTATAATGTTAGTAGCTTTGATCAAAACTGCAGAAAGCTATTTTGAAGTTGTTTACTTGTCTGTGAAAACTGATTCTGATTCTGCTCGATTTATCCGTGCAGCTTGAACCGTTTTAAATCTAGACTACCCCACACACACACACACACACACACACACACACACACACACCACACACACACACACACACACACACACACACACACACAGTATTATTGCATGTTTAACTGCCTGAGGCTTGTCTTGCCCTTGTCAGTGGGGAATGTCGTGATTAAGACACACTTGCAATCCATGTTGGGATATTCCTTGTATTAAGCCAGCGTTGAAAGTAGTACTGATTAGTCTTTCCAAATGTGTTCGTGTTATTTACAAACTAGTGCAGTGCACGTTCGGGGCATGGCCGTTCAGAGCTTGTGCCCGTACTAAGCGGACCGATTGTTTGGCTCCCATAATTGCTGCTTGCAATGTTGTCCGGGGGGCGTACCCGATCGGAGCGCGTAGATTCGTCAAAAATAAAGGTTTAGAAAAATTAATCCCAAACAATTCTAAATGAAGGATGCACATCATCGTGCAATCCGCAAGCCATATACGAAAGTTTAGATCGATCTGACAAACAGTCAGAGAGATATGCGAGACACACACACAGACATTTCTTGCTTTATAGATAGATAGATAGATGTTCATGCAATTGAAGCGCAAAGCAACCTAATGATACTTTATTTGTTTTGTTGCAGGTCATAATGTATTGTCCTTTTTGTGGACAGCAGCAGGCTTCTAAATCAGCCTTTTGCTGTTCATGTGGCAAGGACATCAAATTCCTGTGTGATGTTGATAAAACAGGCACAAGTGGAGGTAATTTAAAAAAAAAAAAAATTTGTATTAGGCTTAGGCAATGTACACTCTATATCTTATGAGTATGGGTGAGAACACTATGTCTCTCTGTTCTTTGTCATTGACGATTGATTGGACTCTTATTTCAAGCAGAGGCTACAGGAAAAAGCACACTGGAGTTATTTCGGACTTTCCGGAGTGTAAAAGAGAAGGAGAGACGAGCAGGTTTTAAGAAAAAAAAAAACACCATCAAAAGACAACCTGAAGGTTGTGAAGGTACATTTTTTTGCTGAGATATACTAATAATTTGCCGACAGTCCATTCTGTCATGTATTTATAGTGTCACTGAACTAGTTAACAGTCGCCTATTTCATTGTTTCTCTGTAGATTTCAGTAGGCCTTATGAGGCTGAAAGATGGTGTACTGAAGACTGTAAGAGGAACAGTACTTCCCCTTTTGATGCGGACGAATTGCAGAGAGCTGCTGAGCAAAAAATGAAGACCTTCGACAGAAATGTACATGGCGGTCCCTACGTACTGCTCTACCCTGACGGTACAAAGATAACTACTATACCAGGAACAGAAGTACCCTTCACTCTAAACGAGTACAAAGAAGTAGTGGGGAAGGCCTACCAACGTATCACACTGTACATTTGTACAGCTGAAGATTTCTTTACATCTTGTAAGTAATTGTGAAATGAATTACCAACCAAGAAGAGCTTTTTTTAATTGATTTGTTTGTCAAGGAAAGCACTCTGTTGTTCTGAGTAGTCTAAAATCCTCTTATACCTGTTCTTGTATTTCACAGCTCAGGAAACCAGCTCTGAATCCAACTCATCGGATTCAGAGGTGATCATCATGAGTCCAACTTCTGCAGAATTCAATGCAGATGATACATTAGTGAGTACTACATTTGTTGTATCTTAGATCGCTTATATTATAAATTATATCTGGAAGTGAAAATGTTTCTAGATTTCACATAGAAGGCATATTTTTACGATGAAACATGTCCCAAAATAGCATTTTAAATTGCGGTAAATGTTGCAGCGTCCTGGCCTACACATATTTTACAAACTTAAGAAAACAACTTTATTTAGTGCAGATCCCTGCAAAATCACACCATAATAATTTGTATGTTTTTCACTGAAAGTGATAATGTAAGAAGGATCATTCCCCCTGTCGCAAATCACATACACTATCAGTCAGAATAATATAATTCAATATTTATGTTCAAATGTGTTAAGTTCTGTCAAATTTGAAGTGTCACACTGATATATTGTTTTTTACTTCCAGGTATGGGAACCTGCAGATGGAGAGTCAGGCACTGATTCAGCAGCTCCGGTAATTGTGGCTCCTAAACATTGTCTATTGTTCACATTCAGCCTTGTCTGAAAATATTGTCACACAATTAATGTCTTAAACTACATGAAATAATGTGTCACACTGACCCAGAGATCCACGTTTGTGTACATTAGAATAGTCTTTTCTTTCTAAATCAGCCCTCTGATAGCCATGATTTAAAATACTTCAACTTACCTGTCACAAACCATGGTTTGTGATTCAGGTCTTATTTTCTGACTTACAAGAGGGCCCAGGAACATCAGGAGGTGTGCTGGAAACTGCGTGCTATAGGTATCATACTTTCCTTTCTACAATTCAAGTATGTTTTATATGAAAACATCAACAATGTAAACTTGTGTATGTCAATTTCTCAGCAAATATACTCAGCTGTATGCGCCCATTGTAATAGAGGATAAGGATGACTCAGACAGTGTTGAGTGCAGTCATGACATTCCAGAGGATACAAAGTAAGAGAAAAGTTACCCTTACTTCAACTGTGGTTGTTATTTTTCCTGATCAAAAATGTGTGCTATGGTGTACCATTTAACATGGTCATAATTTATCTGATGACAGGGTGGACCAGCAATCACTTTCTGAGATAACTGCAAACCTGGCCCTAGAGATTGACCATCGAGCTGTCAGCAGATTTAACATCTGTCGCTCGAACATCTGGGATGGAGCAGTCAGAGGATTCAAAAGGGCAACATTCTCAGAAAAGAAAGACATCCTGGTGAAATTCTCTGACGATTAAGGGAGGTTTGAGGAAGGTCTCGATACAGGTGGCCCCAAGAGAGAATTCCTCTCCCTTCTCATGAAAGAGCTGAACAAACGGCCCATATTTGATGGACCTGTGGAGAGCCGCTACCTGGTCTACAATTCAACAGGTTCTGTTTTGTGTATAATATTTTAAAAGAACCCATATTTCAACCTTGCAGTGTTTTCAAATATGGAAACTGATTTAATATTTCTTTATTCTGCATTATCTTGGACAGCTATCAGAGAGGATGAGTATTATTTAGCAGGGAAGATGATTGCTGTGTCCATTGTGCATGGTGGACCTGGTCCTAATTTTCTGTCAGAGGATCTGGTCAGCTACATCTCAGGGCAGAGCAGTTTCAAGGCATCTGTCGGAGACATTACAGATGAGGAGATAGGGAAAGTCCTACAAGAGGTATGAGAAGGGTGTGAAATTCTAGAATAGGTAAAGAGAGAGTTTTGTCCACTTAAACCATTCTTTCAAGATATACTTCTGGCATTACCATTTTTTATAATTACGTGTCATATTTGAAATGTGTGGGACTCTGTTATCTCTTCTTTTAGATTCAGAATTCACCCTCAGTGGAGATCCTTCAGGACTTGATGATACGGAACAGTGCCATGTTGCAGACTGCTGGGTGCTTCAGACATGTCAGGTCATGTGAAGAAAAAAAAAATGATTGTAGAGGATTACCTGAAGTGGTACATAATCCACAGGAACAACACTGCAATCGAAAGGTAGGTTTTTGTATTTCATTGTTATTGCTAAAATAATTATGAAAAACGTGTTGCTGTTGTCCCATTTTCTTGCTTACTTACTTCTACATGATGCACATGTATCTTTGCATGCATCTTTTAATTGTATTTTAGATTCAAGGCTGGACTTGAAAGTTTGCAGTTTCTGACAGCTCTGCAGCAGCATCCGACGGTTCTGACCCCTGCTCTCTGTCATGCCGATATGAAGCTGTCTGCTGCAGAGATGGAAAATCTGTTCCAGCCTGAATTTAGTCAACAGGGAAGCAACAGAAGGGCTCAGGAAGAGAAAGCTATGAGTTACTGGGCAGACTATCTTCTCGATTGTGAAGGTTAGTCAATTTGCTCTTGTCTGATTTTTATACACACGGATTATAAAAAGTTCCGGTGTTGATGTAGATAGTATTTACTGTCAATTGATTCCAATGTTCTCTACTTTTTAGAAAATGACAGCTCAGTGACCTTGGAGGAGGTGTTAATGTTCGCTACAGGTGTGCCATGTGTGCCTCCTGCTGGTATGAGTCCTCTGCCACGCCTTCAATTCCTATGTTCTACAACGTCAACATTCCCAATGGCAAATACCTGTGCCAACATTTTAAAGCTTCCTCTTTTGGACACTTATGGTGCCTTCAAAGCCAACATGAACTTTGGCATTAATAATTCCCCCGGCTTTGGGTGCCTTTAAACAATTAAATAACTTGTGGTAAAAGTTAATGTTGCCACACACAGTCCGTTGTTTTAATGTTGCGGTCTGTCCGACCAAAATGTTGTGACGTAAGAGAGATGTGAGTATTTTTCATGGCAGATTTGTCCTATTTCATATCTAACATGTGAACAACACCACACATTTGTATTGTATTGTTATTGTATTCTCGTTAGGTAGGTAAGGTAGACCGTGGTTAAATCAAGAGTTCAGAACATGTTAAGATGTTTTACAAATATTTACATAAACAGTAAATAAAGACTGCAAAAGGCACCTTGTCGTGCAAATGTGCCAATTTTGTTTTGGCCATTTGATCATGTTTTTACATGGACTTTGTGAAAGAGTAAAGCTGAATGACTCTTCATTAAATGGTTTAAAAGTGTTTCATTTTAACGTAAGGACTTGTTTTCTACGTATAGCATATATGTTACACACTCGCTACAAAGATGACACGGCTGTAGCTGGTTCACAAGATTTTATTCTCAGATCCACTGTGAAAACAGAAATAACAGTAGCATATGTGACTGATGCAATGAATGAATGTTATTGTTGATTCATCAATTTGTTATGGGCTGTGTCTGAAATCACTCACTACTCACTATATAGAATTCCCTATAGTGTGAATGAGAGTGATTTCGGACACGCCTTGGTCTTTAAAATGTCAGAAAGTGAAGCCTCACAGAGAACAAATTAATCCAGCAAATATTCACATTTTAGAGGCTGGAACCTGCTTATATTCAAAACAAAATTAAAATCAATTACCAAAATATTAGGTGTATAATTTTCTGACAATCGACCATTCAACTGATAACACGGATGTAACACTAAACATGTTTTACAAAATACATGAATATGCTGTATGTTTATTTAAACAAAGAAAGGTTTCAGTCTAATGACTTATGCAAAGATACAAGCTGAATATTTCACTGGACTTATCTACTCAGAATTGCAGCATTCTAAATAATATTCAACCTACATTGGAAACTTGTACACACAAAAAAGGTTCTGGGGGGCTGGTGGGGCAATGTATTCTACACTCCAGATATGTTTTTCATGGAAATGTAATTCTGAACAGCAGCTGTCCAGTTCACTGGTGGAGCCAACCCACTCCGTCTTTGCAAGTCCACAAAATGCATCTCCAGATTCTCATCGCCACACAAATTGTACTGGGATGATGCTTGCATGATGCCATCAAAGTGGTGTAGGGCTTCCCAGGACACTGGAAATCCACACTCCCTTCCGCCAAACCTAAGACCAGTCATAAATTGAAACATAATGAGTCAAGTGATTACAAATGGATCATTTAACCCCCCCAAACATGCTAGATAAGCATTATAACTAAAACTCCATTGAGTCAGTTCTTCGTTAATTAAATCCTAAACAAAGAGCTTTGACTTGAGAAGTTAATCTCAGGTTGACAGCAGCTCTTTCAGTCAAATATGGTCATTCTACTCACTTTCTAACACAAGGTACTTTTTGGAATTGAGTAAGATAAATCGACAGAATAGCTTTGGACATTTTCTGATTTAGGTTGTGTTGGAATCCATTTTTAGTCGTTTAAGACTTGAAATCATTTTTGAAATAATGAGTTTTCAGACTAAATGAATCACGTTATTTATCAAGTGACAAACTTGTCATATTGGGCTGATACACCAAATTATATGAAGTCAGATATATTTTAAAGTAATATTACCAAACAATTTCAATACAAACCTGTGAGGCAGGTGGTACATGGCATCAGGTTTACCTGATGGACACTGAGACAGGCGAACAGGTCGGATGGTGTGGTTGTTCCACAGCTGTCTGTACTCATCGAGGTCTTTTTGTAAGATGCCCAAAAACACATATCGCAGCAGACACTTGTGCTCATGGCTCCCATTGAAGAGGTGCCTCTCTCTAAGGTCACTGAAGAGCTCGATCCAGAACTGAGTCCTAATGGTGGAATTCAAAACTTTTGTATTTCATGAAAAAAAGACAACTTCAAGTAAAAAGTCACAATATTTTGCTAAAAAGTCACAATATTTCTAGAAATGTTGTACATTTCTTGGTGCGCTCCTACATTATTTCATTTGGGAGCACATAAACTCCCTTGGGAAAATGTTAGTGTACAGCTCTAATGTAATTTCACAATTTTTTCAATTGTTTTCATCCAGATAGATTTAAAGTATTTGGGCACCTCTGTACTATATACACACACACACACATTCTTGGACCTGACCTTAAAAGGCTATACCTTTGCTTTCTGAAGAAAGACCACCAACTCTCGATGCGCTGGTTTGCAGTTGAGGTACCATACATGTGACTGAGGGCTCCTGCAAAATCATCTGTGTGTTGAGATCGTAATGTGCAGTTAATGGCTGCCATAGTGCCGTTTTCAGTTCCACAGTCAGTGCGAAGGCGGGCTGGAAGTAGTCCAAACTCCGATACACACTGCAGGTAATACTGCGCAATGATGCCCGGATCGTTGTTAGTGCTGCCACTCCTGAGCCACATAACTTTCCTTGAAAAGCCGTCGATGCAGCCACTGATGGCAATACCAAAGGGTTTAAGTTTATCATATCCATCAGCGTGCCACACTTGGTTTGGTCCTGCTGTGACGTATCCCCTTCGGACAAACCTTCGCCTGGAACGAAGTTGAACACCAGATGGATCCAGTCTGGAAATCGTCTGTCTAACATCCTCCCTTTTTACTGTCAGGTGATACTTTTGTTGCAATGTCTGCCACATAGCTCTGTAACCCAACAGCCGACCCGAGCCTCTCAGTTCATGTGCAACAGTTTGGTGTACAGTGCCAATGGGAGTGTAGTCTGTCCTTGTTAAGCCAGCGTTCTGTAGCCTCCTCTTTAAGGTCCTCAGACTAAGAACAATGTTGTGTCTTTTTTCTAGAAAATCAAGTATCACTTCATAAGCGTGTCCCTCTGTGAAGTACTTGTGGATGAGGCCTGCCTCGATTCCTTCATTCGATTCTGTGACTTAAGGGAAAAGACAACAGTGTCATTAGGAATGAAACTTAATAAGAACAAAATGAAAATGTATCAGTAATGAGGAAAATACCTGAACTGTTTGATGCATAAGTGTATGTTTTCAGTATGTTCAATTCGTGAACAATTCCAGACATGAGGAGCAAAAAATAAGAGAAATAAACAGGCAAAGGACAAAATATTGGGTTACTTACATAATTGGTAAGGATAAAAATACATATCAATCTAGAGGTAGCGAACAAAAAGGTACCCTTTTAATGCCTGTATTTGTGCATAAACGCATCAGAAGGCTCAACCCTCACATGAAGGAGCACATCATTGGTCAACTTTGGTATTTCACCTGATTTTTTTACTTGTTGGCATTTTTTTTTATCAGTAGTTCTAAATCATGTTGAAATTGCCATGACTGACAATAATATGTGTATAGCATATATTAAAATGGCAACAAATCATATACAAATAAGACATTATCACTGTACTGGTGAAATTCTTGACTTTTAAGGAGGAGCTTACCATCTTCGAGAAAGGGAGCCAAACATTCAATGTTGCTGCCACAGGAGCCGCAAAACCTCCCAAAACACCCACCAGTCCCACAATATGGACAATACATTGCCTGTGGAAAAGGAGCAATGTGAATGTTATTCATTTGCAATGAAGTAACAGCTACTTGGTAAGCTATTGCAGCAGGTAATGTTACCTGCAAACAGCTGACACTAATTTAACAGCAGATATCAGCTGCAATCACTTAATATATGAACCATGCATCCATCTACAATGTCAAAATACATTAAAAAAAAAGAAGAAAGATTTAAAGCCAGTAAACTTCCCAAAGGAAGCACGTCTTGGACAGGATAGAGACCCTTCTCTATCTCTAAGCAGGATAAGAGACCATCATTTATCTCTAGACAGGCACATTTAGATGACATGTTGATGGAGTCAAGATTGACTACAGGATGTTAGTGAAGATCTAATATGTATTCAATATAGGGCTGGGCCACGATTAAAAGTTTTAATCGCGTTTCCTGCGATTAACGCGCTAATAACGCGTTAACTTGCCCAGCCCTAATTCAGTAAAAGTTGTTCCTTCAGAGCATGTTGAGGAGAGGACCCGAGCTCGTCTGTTTAATAAAGGCATATTCAACTTACTTTGTGTGACTTAGCATCATATTTAAGTCCCGGTCGGCTCAGATCCGTTTGTTTAGAAAACAGCTAACGTTAGCAGATAAAAGTAGCTATGTTCTACTAACATTATACACTACACACATAATCTGCTCCCACACACAAAATAACGTCATTTAAAGTTATAAATACGGCAGCGACAGATATTATCTACATCCTGTGTAACTTTAACATTATAAACTTACCCAAGAGATGTTTCCTGGAGATCCCCCAGACTTCTTCTTCTCTCACATAAACAAACCGCATGTGCATCAGCAATAATAGTCCCCGGTAATTCACTTCCGTTGTGGCTTTTTTATTTGCATCGCGGCGTTTTTATTTGCGCGGCGTTTATGTTTCTTTTTATTTGCAGCGTTTTTTTAATTTGCAGCGTTCTTTTATTTGCAGCACCCTGGCCTCTCAGGGCCACCGTAGATTAGCCCTACCATAGATTACCCAACACAAATACTCTCTCGCAACTGCCGACCCGTATTGCGCAAGCGCAGATCTAAGATCCAGTAGAAATGATAAAAAAGTAAAAGTCTGCTGCTTATTGTTCTACTAGGCCAAAATAGAGTGTGTTAATTAATATATTTGGCAGTTTGGAGTAAGTCTGTAGATTTGTTTGTGTGTGTGTGTTTCATGTATAGGCCTCTCACGATAATTAATTTTGTTGGATACATTTTACCGGAAATTATTGCGATAAACGATAATATTGTCGGCACCGTTGTATGACCATTTTAGACCACTGACATAATGATAATATATAATAATAATTCAAGTACATCCTTTCCAACTGGTAGTCACATCCTCATGGCAATTTATCGAGTTCATTTTCATTTATCGTACGATAAGTCAATTAATTGCTTATCAGGCACACAATAAAACAGTTGAAACAAACATGTGTTTGACTTTCATTAGTGAATGAAACTTTGTGCCCTTTATCTGTGTCCAATATTGTGTATTTGTATATATTGTATATATATCCGCAAAGGTCCCGCTGCTGACACGATAGCAGTCATTTCGTGCGCATATCTGTAATTAAACCCATGATATCAAAATCTCACTCCAGCCAGGTACCCAAAGTTGGCAACCCTGAAATACATGCATACCAAGTTACTACTAACAGTGTAGTTCCCCTATATAAACGTTACATTCATAATCAAATGAGACAATCTGCAAGAGAATTAGCTATATTTTGTTATTCTTAATGCTTGTCATTCACACGTTGAGAAAAGACGGA